GTAGGAAAAGACTCACAACACGTACTTGGCAGTTATTGTGCCCTACCTCTAGACTAATACACCTCTGCATAAAACAAACAACAGTGGAGAAATCAACCGCTTAACACATCTGCAAAGCCGAGAATTTTTTTTAATCGTCTTTCATTTTTGTTATGTATTATTATTATTATTATTATTATTATTATTATTATTATTATTATTATATATGATTGCAGAAGACTGTGTCAAATCTGGACTAAAATGGACAGCAGTACTCACAAGACAATTGATCAAAAAAGCCCTTGAATATATTTTATGCAAAAAAGTGCAAGATGTCTGCTATAAGCCCGAAATTTGGAATCCTGATAAAGGAGTCTGCAAGTAACTTGTTCTATCATTTCTGAATTCGTTCAGGAAGTTCGTGAAGTAGGCATTCATTACAAACGACAGCATTATAGTGTGTTGGATATGATATTAATGCATCATATATTCAATATACCATAATTTGCTCGTTTTGATCCTTCCTGAATATCAACAATAACCATTGCTATTTTAACCAATATAATGATTACAATGATAGTCTGCACAATTGTTCAAACAATAATCTTTGTTTTTGAACAAATTAAACTGCATTTTGCCCCATAAATGAAAGTTATTTACAAAAAATACAGCTTGGATTTTGCTGGATGTATTATGGATTCATACAATGTAGCGCAGTGCAGACAATATGAAGAGGACCTGGAGGTACAGTTAAAGAATTATTTTAACTAGTGATTACTGAATAAAATTAAGTTAATTTGTTCCTGATCTATATTCCATGAGTAATTTCTGACTTAAATCTCATTTTACTTATATCCAGATTTTAAAAACTGGCTTATTTTAAGCTATCTTATTATCGATGTCTCTCGGGAGCAATGCAATGTACTAACAAAGTAGAAATGGCCAATGAATGTCATCGAGAATACTCTCTTAAGGTATCTGATATTCTGAAGTTAGAGAATGACGAGGAAAGTGATCAAGAATCCACGAACTACGAATCAAAAAAATAATTGTCATTGAGATTAATGCAAAATGAAAAATTGCAACTATGTGATACTTGAAATGTACAAATTTTATTGATAGAATATGCATATCTGACATTTTACTCAAAATTAACAGTTAATGAATGATGACAAACCTTGAAAAAAAACTGAAATAGTCAATGAATCTTTGCTAAAATTCAAAATTATCGATTAGTATCTCTTACTCGATTAATTAACGTTGCTTTCTATCAACTGATATATTCAAAAATCTATTTATTCACTTTCAAATGTAATTTGTCATATTTGAAATTTGTGATATAAAACATGATAAAACGTTCAGTTTAACACTACAAAATATGAAAGTACTGAAAATAATACAAAAGATTTTTACTGTATTTTTTTATTTCAAATCAACTATCATTCATTTGCTATTTCTTGGAATTTTTTTGAAGTCTTTGAAAATGTAATTTTCTACGGGTCAACAATATGCTTTACATATAAAATATTCACATCTGAATGAGAAGTATGAATACTTCAATTCGAAAAAATACAGTACCTTAAAAGACGCAAAATAATTTAAGGTGTAAAATGATGATAATTTTAAGGCGCAGTGTACAACAGCGCAATTCTGAACAACAGTAGTATTATTTGAAATGTAAGAGACAATAGTATCGTATAAAGACTTGAAAAAGTTAGTAATTAATTTTGAGACTTGAGATACTGTAAAATACCTGTATATGAGATATCATGACACAGTACCCAAGTATTTTGCAACCCAGTTACACAATACCAGTAAACAATGTATTCTGCTTGGATTCCATGACAACACTGTTGGCCTTAGTTAAATTTTAACGGACCACAAAAATAGACCAACAAATAGTGTTGCAAAATCGATAGTCATTGTGATTAGGACATAGATATGGCGTCTTCGAGGTAATATTTTAGTATTGGATTTAGTGGTTGCAATGAAGGCCACGTATTGGGGTAAGAGAGGTATGTAATATGGCGGAAAAATCAAGTTTCTGCTGTTTGAAGTCAAATATTTAAAAAAAGCTTGTTCTTAATTTTGGGCCAAAAGTACTAGAATTGTTCCATAATTCTTATGTAAAGATTTGGATGTTATGGGAGTTTATGTATTATCTATCTTTTCCTATCATATCTTCATTACGTGGCCTTTTTTCCACTCTTTTCACGTAGTAATACGAAGAAAATGACAAACTTTGCTCTCAATTAATTACTTTTACTCATTTACTTTAGATTTTGATTGTTAGTTTAAACAACTTCTGCTTACATGTCAATAGTAGTTAACTCATAAGAAAGTCATTTTTTTATAAGAATTAGGTTCTGTATTATTTATTGGTAAGCTAATTAATCCTATATTGATTGACATCAGCTAGTCAATAGCTAATAATATGGAATTAAATTTCGGTCACTCGCATTTCGTTACAAAACCCTTGCATATTCAGAATAATTAAATTGATGAAAATTTCTTTCTTAAAGACATAAGTCTCCATCATTCAAATTAGGCATAATGCTTTCTGAAGCTGGAATTTTGTGACAATTATCTAGACATTTACTGGATATTTTTCATTGGTAGTAAATGCAAAATTATATTAGGCATGAGTTCTCTCAGTTTTGTCAGTGTTTTTTTTCGAATGATTTTGTGACATGTTTGATGTAGTAAAACTTGTAAAGTATTTTCTTGTCTTTTCATTTCACGTTTAGATAATTGAATTGGAATTAATGGCTAGCGAAGTCACCACCGATTCAATGGAAGATATTAAAGATAATGGTAATTATTAAATTGATGAAATTTGGTGATTGGAAAATAAGTTCATTTTAGATGATAAGCATGAAATAAGAAAGTAAGTTGTTTGCATAACTAGTACTGATAAGATCCAAAATCGTAACTTTACAGTTTTTATGACATGAATGAGTTTTTTTTCTAATAAAGCATGTGAACAATTCTTCAATTGATCAAAAAAATACAGATGAAAAAAATTATCAGCCACGTAAACTTCTTTTTATGTCTTATAAAATTTTCTTTCAAGTTCACGTAATTCAAGAGGAAATAAGAATAAATGAGATTTTTTAACAGCAAGATTTTCATAGTTGCTATCTCAGTCCAACATGTGTGAAGTTCTGAGTAGCTATAATTGGTGATAAAGAGTTTTTTTTTTAAACTAATATTTCACGTTATGTGAGGTTTACCTTGCCCATTTACTGGAAGTAATATTTTGAGTCCTTTTTCTACCTGCAGATCTAAAGCCCTTTCCTTTAATAGATTGTTCGGTATTTGTTATTCTGAAAAAAGTATATCATTTTTCTTCAACACGAAAAAATTATCTTGTTTTATTAGATTTTAATGCATAATATGGCAAAGTGTTTGGGTTTTGGTTTTTTTTAACGTGATTCAAGAAGGAAATTGGCCTACTGTTCAAGGCACTATTTTGGCTGGTCAAAAGCGTGCCCGTGATGAGCGAGGTGGACCAGTAATGAAGAAAGCTCATATCTCAGATTCAGAAGGTAATATTTTGAGCTACGCATTTGAAATTCATGCGCAATAAATGCATTAAGACTTTAGTTTGCAGTTCTTCGCAACATTGCTTCATCCCCTCTGTCATGTGATCATTCATGGATTGTTCTTTATTTCATTAATTGTAAATTAAGTGATGATATTGTGGTGGTTTTAATTTTTGGTTAATCGCTGGTTCTGTAGTTTAGATAAGATATTCCCACTTTGAATTATCAATTTGATAAATTGCTTGCATAGAAAGCTTTATTTTGAGACAACATGGTGCAAGTGAAAGTTTTAATTCCATCTGCTGCCGTTGGCGCTTTAATTGGTAAAGGTGGTGAAACAATGCGGAATCTAAAAAGTGAATCAGGTTGTCGCTTGCAGATGAGTAAGAATCAAGAAGTATATCCAGGTTTGCAGTGTTTTCGGTTATTTTCGCAGCAATTATTTTTTACTGTCAAAAACTTAATTGAAGCAAATAGTAAACAACTATTTTTAATAAATTGGTGTTTAAGTAGTACTTTGTGTTCTCAAAAGCTCTTTAAAAGTTTCGCGATTCATTCTAAAACCTCATTTGAGATGAGAAAACACCTGAACTGCTTTTTATCGTATTGTATTAAGAAATACTTTCGTGACCTATTACCTGGAATGGAGGGGAAATTTGATAAAGTCATTTTGAAGAATTTATAACAATTTTATTTGTAGCATAAAGTTGCATTTATTCAAAACAAATTTTTTCGTGTTCATTTTAGGAACAAATGAACGAATCTGCTTAGTGAAAGGAAAAATAGCATCTGTTCTAAAAGTTTCGAATGTCATTTTAGAAAAAATTCGTGAAAAAGTGGACAATAATACGCCATCCGATATTTTTGATCATAAAGGAATGGAGCGCAAAAATGAGGTAAATAGGGATTTAAAGATTTCTAGTTTTGGATAACTGCCTTTTACCATCTAATTCATACAGTCTATTTAAAATCCACTTACAATTAGTATCCTTCATGAATCAAATTTCGGGAATATTTAGATAATTTTTTTATTTGATCAAATTAAAATCCTCTTTGAATCTCTTTATCAGATATTTAAAGTATTTTTCTTAATATTCATCTCTCTTCTAGAAAGTTGCTTATTCATATAAAAACTTTCAGAAATTCAGTCATTTTGCCATAAGAAGTCAATCATCTTACTCTCAGAATATATTCTAATGTTGAATTCTGGATATTTCGTTATCTTTTTATTATTCATCTAATTATTTTGGTTTACAGATTGTTCCAGAAAAGCTAACCTCTCGTGGTCAGGTCTATCCTCTCTAATACAAATACTTTCCGATCATGCTTATCTGAAGAGGCGAAATCGGATCTTTTCTAAATTTCAAAATCTGTCCCTTCCAATTCCTTTTTAACATACCTCAAAAACTCATTTTTCCAATCAAAAATCTTTATTTAATGGGGGAAGTAGTAGGTATAATATGATAAAAACTAGTCGTTTTGCATTTTCTTGATGAAATTCTCGTTCTGCTGTTGGAATGCTTGAAATATTTTTTAGCTCCAAGTTTCTTAAAAATTTATTACTTGATAATGTCGAAAAAATTGGCTCCTCATTTTATTCAAGTGGCACTTCAGCTGACCGTGGATTTTTACGCAAACTTTGCAAAACGCTGTAGGTGAATACTTAAGACTGTATTAGATCTAAAAAGTCATCAAAAATTCAGATGAAACTTGTTGTGCCAAATACTTCGGCTGGCATGGTAATCGGTAAGAGTGGTGCACGGATCAAAGAAATCCGTGAGCAAACAGGGGCAAACATCCAAGTTTATCCTAAAGCTGGTAGCCAGGAGGCTAAAGTAAGTCAAGAACGAATCATTACGATAGCTGCGGAGCAAGATGAAATTCTTATGGATGCGCTGCAGCGTGTCTTGGAAAAAGTGGCCGCAGATCCACAGCATGCTATAAGTACTACAATACCAGAACATAAAGATGACAACTTTGGTGCAGCAGGTGCTTTGTTGCATGGAATAGGTGGTGGTATTCAAAGCCAGGCAATCCAACCTTTTGAGTTCAGCAGTCGTAGCCAGAATGTATCCCAGTTTGGTGGTGCTCCAACAGTACAGCAAAACCATTTTGGACAGATGAATCATGGCGCTGCACAAGTTTGGCAGCCAAACCAACAAAGAGCTTTAGGTGAGATTTAGTGGACTGATAATGATGATGTGGTAGTTTTGAGATGTTAAAGAGGGGGAGATAGTGGGAAATGACTTTGAAAATTAGAATAATTTCAGCTTTCTGGAATTTAACTTAAAATTCTCAGTTTTCGAATTGTCCTTTGATCATGTCTTCCTTTCTTTATGAAGGTCTGATCTTTTTCTTATCTAGGAAGATAACCTTTTCTCTCACTTCTCCTCCTCTTTGCAATGATATTTCTGAGAAAACGTTGATCGTGTATGATGAGCAGTAAGATCATCTTTCCGATCGCTTGTCTTCATCGTCAGTGATCTATTTCTCAGTACCTGATTCGAAAAACCTAAATTTACTGGTTAGTTTTTATATTCAGTCATTATATACTGCAGTCAGTCATCAAGCACATTCAGGTTTGCCTCTTTCGCAGTCAGCCTTTTCTGGAAAATTTTGGGATTTTCTGCGATATCCGCAATTATTTCTCTTTAGACCATTCAACTCTTCCCTCATATGTACTCATTCTTTTTGTCTACTATGGATGTATTATCATATTGAAGTCTAAAGTTAATTTGAAGATCGAAGCATGAAAATATAATGTTCGGAGAAAGAATTTTTTTTTCTATTTTTTTCATTTCTTGATTTCATTTCATTCAGATATTGGGGAGATTGCTTTCATTAAGTGATTATTCATGTCTGAAGACATTCAGTATGGTAAAATTATTTTTCAGATTGCAACACTATTTTTAACACACTAATTAGATATATAGTAAAGAGGTATATGTAGAAAAAAATATAGGTTACCGTCTTAGAAATTCTTTGTTTTTTTAAATTGTACTGCTTGTTAGAACAATCAAAATGCTGGTAAGTAAAGGGTCCCGACACTGGAAGGGAATTTTGCCGTTTCAGTAATCCCAATCCTTTTGAAGTTCTTCGAATTATAATCGGATAGAAATCAGATTTGATAAAAGATTTTTTATATTCAGAAGTTTTGAGATTCTTGTTTTTTTAAAATATATATTGTTTTGACATCTTCACTGTATGAAATATTGTTTTATAATTAAATTTCGTGAAAATACTTTCAACTTTACCTTGCCATGTCTTCCATGGAAAGACAGGTATGGTGGGTTATTTTCTTTAAGTGTGGAAAGTTACGAATGTTAAAAAAATTCAAGCATGCAAGTATTTTTTTTTTTTGATTTAAGTATTTTATTTAATGAAATAGCATCGTTATTTAGAAGCAACTTATGCGACAACCACAAAAGATATTTATCAACAGAACAATGCAACTGGTTTCAAATTCAACCCTATGCAAGGCTTAGGAAATAATGAGGTATATATTTTTGGACATATTTAATAGTTGTGTTACTCTGAATTTATGATGGATTTCGTCGTGGAGAAACGTTAAGTAATGGTATTTGAACATGATATTCAATTTGCATACCTAAATATGCTTGTGATATTGATTTTATTGTGATTATTTAATATCATTTTTCAGCTCTTAGCATTTTTGGATAGCTTACAGTCCACTTTACGCACTTCGGGGTTTAATGAAACAAGTGTTGCAGAAGTTATGCAGGCTATGCAGGTAAATCTTCTGTACATTAGTTTATTTTCAACATGTTTAATATGTGAGAGTGAATATGGTTTATTTAATCAGTTTATCATTTTCTATTTTATTTATTGCAGATTTTGGCTAAATATAATATCATGGGCTTGGGGCTTGGTCTTGGCGTTGCTGCTATGGCACAAATGAGGACAAATGAAGCTCCCAGTATGACAAGCTCACAAGGATTGTCTCAATCTCAACGTTTTGAAACATCTAATTTATCCAGTTCAGGTGGGGCAATCGAGAGCTCTGACAGACGGTTTCCTACTGGATCTGGAGGATCTATAACAACTGGGGCAGGAGCTGGAGGAGGACAAAGCGATTTAAACAAAGTACAATCATTCTTTTATCGATAAACCAATAATTAACTAGTCTGTTTTTTGCAAGTTTGTAAGTCTACCCAATTGGAGAGTCGTCTTTTGTTATTTTTAAGACTATATTAATGCAAATCTTATTCTTTCCAGATTTTGGGCTTCATTTTTTATCGTAGAGATAGTATTTGGGGAGATAAAAAGTCATATCGAGCTTGCGACATAAAAAGTTGATAATACTTATCAAAAAAGGTCGACCAATAAAAGGCTTTTAATTTTATTTTAACCTAAACTTTATCGTAGAATGCACTAATCATTCAACTTATGCAGTTCATTTGCCTTATCATAATTTCCTTACTTCATAGTTTTTATTGAAACCCTTGTAGTTTGCATAGGGTAAATTTATTTGGTGATGAAATCCATACATTTACTTAGAAATTTAATTGCTTGTTTGGCAACTCCTTTCTTCCATCACGAACTGGTAGCCAAATAATATCATTTGACAGTTTCATTGCTTGACATTGATTTCTGGATTTCATTTTGCAGTTTTCATTCTTTTCATCTTCTGAATTTTTACATCGCTTTGATTCTTATTTGTATGAAAATTTGCAGTTTTCTCGTTTTTGTCTGATTTATCGTAATCCGAAAAATTTGTTTCGGTTTAATATCCTTATCTCAGTTTTTTTATGCTCATTGTATCCTTTTATTTTTTGTTTCATAATTATTATTGATACTCACTCAACCCTTTTTTATATCAAGCTTCCCAAATTTAAGGCGTTTTTTTACAGTTCATTGTGATCATTAATTATTCCAAGATTAAAAACAGTATATTCATCATTTTCAATGCCAGTACAAGCATTATGCAGTTAACGAGTATATTAGACTTGATTAATGCTAGTTCACATCTCAATCCATTGAACATTTGTTATCTAAGTGTTAAGTTTTTGGATAGATTCGCTAATAACATTTGATAATCTCAATAAGTAATTTCTGTATAGTACTGTGGTTCTATTTTCTGAAAGTTGCTACTTGATTAGTAGTAAGTTCTTGCTGAACCCTTGAATGACGAGTTGCATTTCTTCGAAATTATTCTTCTGAATCTGTGTTAAATTTTTTGAAAATTGATGAATTTTTAGAGCTCATTTAAAAGTTACATTCCTCTGAAGCAATAAACATCTTTTATTATCCTCATGGTTTTTTTTCGACATTTATAGTTTCCAATTGTTTTTCTCTCATTATTAATTATAATAATTAGCTGCAATTCTGCAGTTAAATCAGTTTTCGGGAATATTAGCCTCATGTTCAATAGATTTCGTCGCGTTAAGAGCATTGTAGTTGTTTTACTCTTTGCCTGTGTATGGTTAAATAGAAGCAGTGTATCATGAAATTCTCGACAGCAGTGAATGAAATACAATGAAATATTTAAAGAATTTTCATGAGAATGTCGCAAGCAAATTGATCTTAAATTCTGAAACTGATTGTAACCCACTTGACAACGCTATTTTGTTTTTATTTGAGGCACCTCTTATATCTTTAGTCTTAAAGATTTTGCTTTTGGAGTCAATATGGTGGAAAATAATTTAACAAATGACACAAAGTATAGTATTTTCGTTTACACGTGAAAGCTTAAAAAACATACTACTTAGCAAACAAAATTTATGGAAGTTGCAAGTTCAAAATGTCATTGTAGTCGCTCAGTGGCGTTGGTGGAGTGCTGATCGATGTGTTAAGCCAGAATAAGCAAAACAATTCCAGTGGTCAGAATTTTGCAGCATCCGTAATTAAGGAAAAGATCATCGACAGCAATCATATTGACCTGGAGGTGTGCAAAGCCAATTTAGTTTAACGGATTTTAACTTTTCTACCAGTTTTTTGACTAAGTGATATGCAGTTCTTGCGCTCTAGAATAAAGTTTAATAACGTTTGACATGCATCAGGATGGAATTTATGCATTGTCATTCTCTTCTGCAAAGTTCATTTCTACAGATAGTGATTTTGTACAAAAAGTGGTTGAGGCTTTTGACAATATCATTGTAGATACCGGACACTATTGTTGGAGCGATTCTTGGTCCAAGAGCTAAAACATTAGCAGAAATCCAGCACCTAAGTGGTTGCAAAGTTGAAGTACACAAACGTGGTACCGCAGCAGGGCAAGGCAATCGTCTCGTAAGGTGCGTTTTTCCTCTTTTTTAATAAATTCAATGAATTTTCACCTATGGGGAATTATTTTCGTTCTAGATTTTTTCCGTAAGTGAAAAATCATTATAAATCTGTACGATTAGTCTGATTCTTTTTTTGCTTTTTCACATAATTTGGGGCATAAAACTCTCAAATATTCTTTTATTGTCATTGTTGGTCACTGTAGGGCGATATGTAAATTAAGGTAGATTACTAAAGATAAAATCAAATTATTGAAAAATAGTATCTTTGGATTAAATTTGCGTAAGATTTAAAATTTATTATTATTATGAAATTGATCGGATTCACTAGTAATAGTTATCGTTTTCTGGTAGTTACGGCATGAAATTATTTCATTTTTTTATTATGGAAGTATGGGTGTAATTAGTCGTAATCTTTATCTTATTATTAGAGAATCAAGCAGTTTGAACAACCGTATTTTGTACTATAATTAATAAGTAATTAGTGCTGGTTGCTTCGAGATATAGTAAACGGTTGTAAGCAATCAAGGAAGGTAGCTATGAACGAAAAAGGATGAAAAGTAATAAATATCATATTGAGTGCAGTATGTACTAGTTACTGATTACAGGACGTATTAAGCGTCATCTTCATTCATTTGATTTCAGTCTAACTGGAGATGTAGACTGTATACGTAATGGGCGTATGATGATCGACAAGGTTATTAATGATGAACAATTACGTCGCAATCAACAAGCTCAAAATAGTGTGCGAGGTGGACTTCGTTAATATTATAATAAAATTGGGACCTTCTTTTTATTTTTGGTGACGAATTGGTTTTTTCTACTGTAGTGATGTTTTTGTCAGAAATTTGTGCTGTATTTCATGTTTCAATAAGTTGTTTCGTAAAATGCATCATTTCATAAGCACCACATTTTATTATGTTTTCATCTGATTGTGCTTCTCTATAAAATGTACATTTTTATTCTTTATTTTATTCATATATCTCTTCAACTGTTTCTCCGTCTAAATTATTCAAAGTACAACTTTGAACTGTTCTTCACAGCCAAATCTCTCACATTTTTAAGCAATTTCACTTGCTTAAAATTCTTGAAAATGCTGTCTTTTATTTATTGTGATCGTTTCTAAGAAACATCGGTAAAGCACTTTGGACTGCACTGGATTTTTTGCCATCTAATTTTAACCCCAACAGTAATTGATATTAAAGTGGATTCTAATAGTTGTTGTTATAATTAAGCAGTGAATAGTTCATTTACATAACTTCGGAGATGTTCAGAGCCAACAAATATGGCGCGACGCAGTTCAAACATACCGTTCATTTAATTAATTATGCATCTTAATTCGTATCCCTAAAATCTGCTTAGATTAATTGTAGTGGTTTAATTAAAAATCATGTTGAAAGATAAGCGAAAGCTTCTATGAAGGATACGAAGTTGTGACGAGACCGTGTTACGAAATGTGTTCTTCACACACCTGATTGTTTTTGTTGTTTTTTACTGCTACTGTAAATCTAGATCGGATAGTAGTCTTCTAATTAACGAAATTTTATCAATAATTTGTGATGAAGACTCACTTATTGTTCCCACGCCCATCTCGGAAATGTTTACGCCTTGGTCTTTTGCTACATAATCTCAATTTTGGAATACCTTTCAGAATATGTCAGTGGACAAATACACTGGAAATATATGTTATCTCAAAGGTTTAGAAGTAATGGTTTAAAGTAGAGGAATTGTTCTTAGAATATGGTGAATCTTTTTTAGGTTCTGAAAGAAATAACTAGATTTAAGATGGGATTCGCACCATTATTGTCAAGAATTCGCACCATTATTGTCCACAGAATTCTATCATTTTGAATCATTCTATATCTTTTAGAGCGCTTTTAGGCTTATTTTTTATGTTTAATCGCGCAAATCTTGACTATACGAAGTACTATTGTATGTATCTTGTCGTATATTTTGATAAGTATGCAAGAACAAGTCTACTTTTACAAGGATAAAAGTTTTCGTAAATAAAAGTAATCATTAGTAAGTGATGCAGGCAAAGCCTCCTTATAAAAACGGTTCTTATTTTCAGAGTGATATTTTTCTGTCATAGAAGCTTACGTTCATATCAGTATTTTTGTTATGGAAAATTAAATATTCGCAACGTTTTATTATGAGGTGAACCATTTACTAATTTTCTTATGTAACAGACATTGTTAAATGATGTATTTCGAGTTCTAAAATGAGGGGATGTTGAGATAATACAAAATCTAGATATTCTTTGCAACTATATTCAGGTCGTCTGCAGGAGCTGGACGTTTTCGTTTTGGAAAAGCGTTAAAGACATCGCTTCCTGATGTCCAATTATTTCTGAAAACGTCTGCGTTTGCTGTCCGTAGAAGAGAGTTATTTGACATCTAAAAGTCATATTTTGTTAAGAAAATATCTTCCACATAACTTCTAGTAAGCAATGTGACTTTCGTATATTGATTGCTACAACAAGACCGAATGTTCTAGCAGTAATTGTTCTTAAATAATAATACAAAAAAACAATATTTGGCATGGTAGATTGATTCCGCAGATTCTAGAATTTATATAAGTAAAAAAGTAGGGACATCAGTCAGGCATAATCTCGTATATAAATGATAGTATCCGACAGAAAATAAGCCGAGGAAATAAGTACCGTTTCAGGAATATGCTTCGCAGCAACTTGTTTTATTTTATCAATTTCTCGTTCCAGAGCATCATTTTCCAGTTCCAGTTCCCGATTCTGTGCTAATAGCTTTTCTAAATAAGCCTGCTTTACAGTTATCAGATCAATTGACTTCTTTAGAACCGAAGCACGTGAGGCCTAGGAATCGAAAACATTCACTAAGTAATATACAAAACAGAATTTGTATGTATTACCTAACTGTTTATAGTAAATTTAATTATTTCTGTACATTTCGATTTCGTTCTAATGAATGCAAAATCAGTAATACTAGTTTTCTTTGTGCTATTTTTGTATTCATTTTTAACAAGCTTGCCAGGAGTAGCACTTACTCTCTCATTCTTCATCCCGGGTATGGTATCTTTCAAAGCAGCATACATATCTTTGATATTATCACGACGTCGCCGTTCCAAAGCATTATGCTGAGCTCGGGCATGCCGCTTACTGTCTATCGCAATTATAGAGTGTACTGCAGATTCATCCTTAGTCAAAAATACATTAAGATTATACAAAACATATAAAAGCTTTATAGAATTTGAAAATTTAAAGTAGATACCAGCATGGGTAA